TTTTCAACAAATATAATAAAAATAACAATTTATTGCTCATATTTACATCTACTTGTGCACAGCTATTCTTGAAAAAGAGCAGTTTCTGTCAGAGCTCTCTCAGCCCCACCTCCCTCACAGGGTGTCTGTTGTGGGGAGGGGAAGGAGTTTGTAAGCCGCTCTGAGACTCCCTTGGGTAGCGAAGGGTGGGGTATAAATCCAATCTTTTCTTCATCTTCTTTTCCGGACAGGAAGTGTTCTAGAAAGGGTTGCTAAAATAACTTCTACAAGCAATGTCATCTAGCAAGCCTTTGGGTGGAAACTCCTGCGTTCGTGCCGTTCGGTGTAATGACGTGTAGGGTAGCCCATCGGAATTCTTCCAGCCAAATGCCCCTGTGCACAATGCAAGCTGTTGCTTTAAATAGGTTCAGACTACGTAACTTTTGCATTGTTTGATGTCGCATGTTAATACTTTGTCTGCTTTGCTTCGCCTCTGGTTCAGATTGGTGGTGGGTTCCAGATTTCGGCAAGTCAAATCCGATTGCATTGTCTATTGAACGTCCCAGGCCAATTGTATCCTGTGTAATCCGCCTTTAAATAGCAAATAAACGGACTGACTTTGAAGCGGGTTTAAGTGCTGACAGATAGGCGCTTCCATTGTTTAGACATGAACCACCACAGAGGAATTAAGGGTGTGTAGGCCCTGGCAAGACTTGGGGTAGCTCTCTCCTGCCTCTGGAAACCACAACGGAAGCACGCCTACTGTTGAGGCTGTTGTGTGTGTCGCCCTCTGCGTAACAACAGGATCTGTTACGCTTTGCATTCCGCTATTAAGTATATATTTACATATCAGACTCCTACTTTGACATCTTTGCTTCACTGTTTCCCCCCCCATAATTAAATCCAAACAAATGGTGACCATATCAACTTACTGTGTGGTCTTTGCATCTGTTAAAACGTCATTACGCTGTGCGTTAATTTGCTGTTCAGTCTGCCTGTGTGTATGGACTAGTTGGTCAGCCGTGTTGGTCCAAAGCAGTAGAGCAAATTTAGAGTCCAATGGCACCTTTAAGACCAACAAAGGCTTATTCAAGGTGTGAGCTTTCGAGTGCATGCATTTGATAAAGTGTGCGCGTACACAAAAGCTCATACCTTGAATAAACCTTTGTTGCTCTTACAGGTGCCACTGGACTCTAAAGTTATTATTTATTTATTTCACACTTATATCCCGCCCTTCCCAGTGGGCTCAGGGCGGCTAACAGAGGCCAGATCATTACTCTAGCCATAAGTAAAAACATATAGAATATAATAAAACATCAAAACTAAGACTAAAGTGCTCTATCCAGTTACTAGTGTCCTAGATCCAAGATGGTATCCCCACGACTCGAGCTGGTATTCTCAGCGTACATATCCAGTGGCGACGGCGTTTCTGATGTAATTCCAAGTTCTTCCTGGGGCCCCGTCAATGCATCCATTCAGATGTCTTGACGGTGGTGGTATAGTAGGGCGGCGGCTCCTACTCAAAAGCCTGGCGGAAGAGCTCCGTCTTGCAGGCCCTGCGGAACTGCTCAAGGTCCCGCAGGGCCCGGATCTCCCCCGGGAGCTCATTCCACCAGGTACGAGCCGCCACCGAAAAAGCCCTAGCCCTGGTCCTGGCCAGTTTGACATCCTTGGGGCCCGGTATAACCAATAGATTTTGGGCCCCCGACCGAAGTGCTCTTGGGGGAACATGTGAGGTAAGGCGGTCCCTCAGGTAGGCTGGACCCTTGTTATATGTATGGACTGTTAACTTCCATTTCGGTGTATCTGAGGAAGTGTGTGTGCGTGCACGGAAGCTCATACCTTGAATAAAACCTTGTTGGTCTGAAAGGTGCCACTGGACTCCGCCTTTGTTCCCTCTGCCAAAGAAATTCCTTTTCCCACTTTCAAAGTAATCTGAAAGAGGGCTCAGGTTTCAAGAACCCCTGAGAGACAAATTGCAACTCTTGCAGAGGGTAAGGGACGTTTGCTGTGCCTCCGCCTGGCAAAACTGGCATTTCTTATTTACTGCTTCTTAGCCTCAGCACCAGAAACAAGCCTGTTCCTGCAGTTTGGTGACCTGGGACAGATGCTGTTAAGTTTCCGCTGCCCCGTCAGGGAACCTTGGTAGTGGGGAAAATGCTTGGCTGCACTATGTCATGCAGCATGTAAAACCCCCCCCCCCATTAGCCAGCATGAAAGCTGTGGAACTCGAGTAAGCCAAAACTGAAGAACACTTGGGTTCAAGACACCCGCCGGAGAGCTTTGACTCTCCAAAGCCTCCACCCAAAAATCTTGTTGGGTCTCTAACGTGCTACTGGGACTCGAATCCAACTGTTTCAGGGCAGACCGACAAAGCGACCCTCTGAAAAAGTAGAGTAAAAACCGAAGAGGAACCAGGAAAAGGAGGCCAAAAGGACGAGTAACTCAAGGCAGCATCCGGAATTGTCATATTAAAAGCACTTTGATTTTGCTTTCTCCCCACCCACCATGGGGGCACAGCGGTGAGACCTCAAGTGCTTGCACTGTTGGGTGAAGCCTTGATGGAACCTAAGCAAAAGGCATCAGGCGGCTTTCGGTTATGGGACTCGCCGGTGGCCCATCGTGGCTAAGGGCAACTGCTGTGGAAGACAAGCTGGATGAATGCCATAATGAGAAAGCAGCTGTGGAGCAGAAGAATATTGACTAAAGTAGAGTGGACGGCTAGATCTGAGTCCAGCAGCACCTTAAGAGACTGACAAGACGGCTTCAAGAGGGGATTGGATAAACACAAGAGGCAGAGGTCCACCAGTGGCTATCAGCCACAAGGTCTAGATAGGAACTCTCGGTCTGGGGCAAGGGATGCTCTGTCTTCTTGGTGCTTTGGGGGGGGGGCAACGGTGGGAGGACTTCTAGTGTCCTGGACCCACTGCTGGACCTCCTGATGGCACCTGGTGTTGTTGGCCACTGTGTGACAGAGTGTTGGACTCAATGGGCCATTGGCCTGATCCAACATTGACTTCTTATGTTTCGAGCTATGAGCTTTCAGGAAACAAAGCTCTTTGTCAAGAGTTTGGCTCTCAAACCCACGCTGTAATGATTTCTTGTTTTGGTGTGTTTCTTTAAATGTTTAGTTTGACTACAGTAATGTAAGGAGAGTGATAGAGACAAAGGTGATGTGATTGGGTGATGACTGAGAGTGTGGGAGATTTCTGAGGTGATTCTGTGTTCTTGAAGAGAGGAGTGTGGTGTTGGTGTGTGAGAGCCTGTATGACAGGAAGCAGTTGTTTAGTTCAGCCTGTGTGACTATATATATATATGAGAGAAACCTGTCAGAGTTGAGTTTTGGTGTATGAGAGACTATGAGGAATTTCAGACAGAACCGGCTCCCTACCAGAATATATTTGTAGTTTCACACACAAATGCTTCTGTCCCATTTAGGAAACGGGGCTGAAGCGTTTTACCTGTCAACCGCTTCCAAGTAGTCTTCAGTTTCCTCTCCCGGTTCCGATGTGCTTTTCCCCGCCATTTTTCGCCCGTGCGGGAAATCTCTGGCTTAAAAAAAAAAAGTGTTTGCTTTATAGCGCTATAACAATATGACGCAACGGCATTACATCAACCCCATTGGAATGCGTGGAGTGTTCTGTTATAGCACTATAGCGCTCTAAAGCGAACGTTAAAAAAAAAAAAAAAAAAAAGGGGGAAAGCCCCGGGGGGGGAAAAAAGGGGGGGGGAAAAAGCGGTGCAGTCTAAAATGGCAAACCGCTTCAGATCCAGCTCTTTACCGGAAGGGGAAAACCATGTGTGAAATGGCAGCCCTATACCGGTTTACTCCATGACGGATCAAAACCGGCTTCAAAACAGGTTAAAAAGGGTAATGTGAAATTCCTCTATGTGTGACACCAAGCTTTGTCAGTTATATTTTCTTTCTTCTTCAACAGTTAAAAAAACCTCAGAAACCTATTTTGTTCTTTTATAAATAAATCATTATTTGTTTAAATTTATCCCAGCAATCAGAACAGTCCTTCCTCAGGGCCACAGAGTCCTCTGAAGCCCCCAGACACTGGGTCATTCTACCAAAAGAGAGAGAGTTGGAATTTTTAATTCCTGGTGGCAGCAGAAATCTACAAAGCTCATGTACACAGAGAATGGTTTAAAGGAGAAACAGACTCCCCAATAAGCAAGGACAGCACACCCCCCCTCTAAAATCTTGATGGTCTCCTAAGGTGCTAGTGGGCTCGAATCTACCTGATTTGCTGGACACCAACACAGTTAACCCTGTGAAAGGAGACTGAAGGGCTCTGAAGACCTTTGTGTGCAGGGAGAGGATTCGGTTGAGGAGTCAAGCCCTCTATACACATGCCCATTCAGTACCCACCGTCGGCAGAATGTGAAATCCACGGGGCTTATATTCGCAAACGCAGAACTCAGCTGCAGACACCAAAATAAAGAAGCGGCACACGCAAAGCCACAAATTATTATTTCTTTTGCAATTTCGTCTTACAGTGAACCGAGAGAACACAGGATGCTGTTCGAACCGGGAACAGAACAGGATCAGAAACATACGAGTAAATCTTCGTGGCAGAACCGAACCGGCTATGCGGTATCCTGAACACAAATTCAGCTGGCGGCTGGAAATGAGGGCATCGACACAGTGTAGCTGCACAGTTAAAGAGGTCCTGTTTTGGCCGTGACACGGTTTGGGAACTCAACTTAAAAAGAAATGTCAGTGGAGAGGGAAAGGAAAAGGCCATGGCTTTAGCTAGCCTGTCAAAACAGGGAGAGGCTGGTGGGCAGAAAAAGACGAAGACGGCAGACACCGGGAGAGCCTGAAATTTATTTCTAACGTGGCAAAGCGCTGCCACCGCGAAATCCAACCGGTAGGGCGGCCACCATCTCCTCGAGGTCAGCATTAATGAGCACCAGAGCCCTTCCGTCTGCAGCAAGGCTCCTTTGCATGGGGGGGGGGGGGGGGGGGGGGGGGGGGTGACTTGTGATGTGACTCATGCAAGGCTCCTCTGCTTTGTAAGGGTGGGGGAGGAAAGGGGAAGGGGGTGCGTTTGTGTGCAGCACAGTCCGGTGTTTCTGCTTCACGTAGCAAACCGGGCACCACCTGGGGACGGCAGGTCAGTCACATTCATCTTCCGAGCTAAGAAATATTTGTGTATATATGTAAAAAAAAACAACTCCCCCCCAAAACAATTTGTACAACACCAGAGTATCAAAATGTAAAAGGAACACATTACAGTGGCAGCTCCTGCCCCTCCCCACCCCGCAGGTCAGCGAGGCCCCCCCATCTTGCAGGATCAGCGGTGGCTGTTCTTGGCTTATAGAGGGGGTGGGGTGGTGGTGGGGGGGAAAGGGAACCACACAAGACCATTTCAGCGAGTGTCTCCAGGCAGCAGGTGTCAGTCATTGGTTTCCGGGTCTGTCTGGGCCATGTAGGCGTCTAGCTCGGCATCCAGGTGTCCTTTCGTCTTGGACATGTAGGCGTCCAGCTGGTTGTCCAGCTGCTCCTTGGTCAGCGCCGGGCGGGCGGAGCCTCTGCCTCTCCCCCGGCCTCTCCCGCGGCCGCCGAAGCCTCCTCTCCCCCGGCCTGCCATGCCGCGACCTGGCGTGGGGAACAAGAACTTTTACTGCTGTGCCGGCCTGAGGGGAGATGACCAAGCCGGTGGGTTTTTAATGCTCCTCCCGCCTTTGTGCAAGGGACTTTAGGCTGTCTATTGGTAGTCCAAATTTTTAACTCTGTTTTGTTGCAGTGGTTAAGAGCGCGGGCTCTAATCGGGGAGAACTGGGTTTGATTCCCCCACTCCTCCAACTTGCAGCTGCTGGAGGACCTTGGGCAAGCCACAGTTATGCCAGAGCTGCTCTTGAAAGGGCAGTTCTTGAAAGAGCCCTCTCAGCCCCCACCTACCTCACATGGTGTCTGTTGTGGGGAGGGGAAGGAGCTTGTAAGCCACTCTGAGACTCCAAGTGAAGGGCAGGGTATAAATCCAGTCTCCAGTTTGGTGTAGTGGTTAAGTGCACAGACTCTAATCTGGGAGAACCGGGTTTGATTCCCCACTCCTCCACTTGCACCTGCTGGGTGACCTTGGGTCAGTCACAAGCTCTGGCACAGCTGTTCCTGAAAGAGCAGTTTGTGTCAGAGCTCTCTCAGCCCCACCCACCTCACGGGGTGTCTGTTGTGGGGAGGGGAAGGGAAAGGAGTTTGTAAGCTGCTCTGAGACTCCAAGTGAAGGGCGGGGTATAAATCCAATCTCTTCTTCTTCTTCTTCATGTGTAAGTGTGAGAGAGTGAGAGCGAGTGAGTGTGTGTGTGAGAGAAAGACTGCTAGCTAGGTAGCTGTTAAGGCCAGGGGTCCCCGACACTTCTGAGCCTGAAGGCACCTTCGGAATTCTAACACTGCACGGTGGACGCGGCCACAAAACGGCTGCTCCAGCTCACCTTCAGTCACACAGCGAAGATCCTTTGTGCAGTTGTGGCAGCTACTGCCAATGCAACACATTTTAAAATCTGAACAGCCAATCAAATCTCCACTGTTCAACCAGAGGCCTTGCCCTTAGGGAATAATGGAGAGCACACTTGCCCATAGAGGACGATGGGGATCCACGCTAGCCCTTAAGGAATAATGGAGTCCACGCTTGCCCGTTGGGATTGATGGAGACCATGGTTGCCCATAATGAATACTGCAGTCCACGCTTGCTCAGCAATTACAGCAGTTTCCCACAGACCGTTCATGATAGCCGATAGAGAATGCATGATTGCCCACCCACTTTCTAAAAACACCTGGCTGATTTTGGGAAAGGTGTTGGTGAGCACTGCGGTGCCTTTGGGCACCATGTTGGAGATCCCCGCTCTATGGTAAAGGAAGTTCGCAGACTGAGGCCCCAGGTCAATTGCTGGGCTCCTGCGTGCCAAACGACCAAGAAAGACCTTTGCCCAGAGCCTTGGAAAGCCACCCCCAGTTACAATGGATTATGGGACTAGGTGAACCAGGGGGCTGCCTCACCCTACTTGATCGGTTTTCTCCGACTGCTCCCCCTTCTCTTTCTCTGCAACACTTTCAGGGTTGTAAATTCCCCAGAACGGTGGCAGAAACTGCATGGTACCATGGAACTGAGGAAAACAGTGTGGCCATGGGGCCCGTGTTCTGAAATGGATGCGCCAAGTCGACTCCAAACACGGTCTCCAGGGCTCAGCGCAAAAGATGCTTAATTAACATTTGCAATACTAATGGAGACTCTCCCATGTTACATTTACTGTGTGCAAGCGTGGGGGCTGTAGGAGAACAGCTGTCAGAAACTGAAGCTTCCTTATAACTTCACACACTGCGCTTTTCAAGAGAGGTGGTGAGAGACCCAGTTTGGTATAATGGTTAGGCGCGCGGACTCTGATCTGGGAGAAACGGGTTTGATTCCCCACTCCTCCACATGCGGCTGCTGGTGTGATTTTGGGCCAGTCACAAGTTCTCTCAGAGCTGTTCTCTCAAGAGAAGTCCTCGAAAGAGCTCTCTCAGCCCCACCAACCTCATAGGGTGTCTGTTGTTGTGGGGAGGAGAAGGGAGAGGCGATTGTAAGCCGCTCTGAGATGCCTTTGGGTAGTGAAGGGTGGGGTATAAATCCAGTCTCTTCTCTTCTCCCTAAGTTCTGCGTGGAGTAAGCAATCTATGCCTCAGTCATGAGAACATAATGGCCAACGATGGGGTGTAGAGGCCGAGGCCTTCCCCTGATGCTGCCTCCTGGCTCTGGGATCCAAAGCATTAGGGCCTTTGAAGGTGGAGGTTCCCCCCAGATTCAGATTCTATCTGTGGCTACTAGCCACGGTGACTATCTAATCCCCTTTTAAAGGTATCCCTGCGGCCATCACTGCATCCTCTGACAGCGAATTCCACATTCTAATCACTTCCTGTGTAAAGCAGTATTCTCTTTTGTCCATCCTGAACATACTGCACATCAGTTTGCACTAGAGTTCTAGCAGCTCTCTTTGTCAACTCTCTCCACCCCATGCTTAACTTTATAAACCTCTCTCATGCCGCCCCTCAGTCATTCTAAAGTGGGGAGGGCGGGGTATAAATCGAATCAATAAATTTTAAAAATATCAAGGGAGGAAGGAAGGAGAAGAGATTGGATTTATACCCTGCCCTTCACTACCCAAGGGAGTCTCAGAGCGGCTTACAAACTCCTTTCCCTTCCCTTCCCCTCCCCATAACAGACACCCTGGGAGGTCAGTGGGGCCGAGAGAGCTCTGACAGAAACTGCTCTTTTTCAAGGACAGCTCTTATCAGAACTATGGCTTGCCCAAGGACATCCAGCCAGGTGCAAGTGGAGGAGTGGGGAATCAAACCCGGCTCTCCCAGATTAGAACTGGTGCACTTAACCATGACAACATACCATTATACTAAACCACCACCCACTCCCTTGGGTTCCAACCACCAGCCACTGCAGATCCTTCTGTGACCCGAAGTGACGTGGTTCGACCAAGGACCTCAACATCCACTCCTGGGACATCCATCAGTTGAAAGTCTTCTGATGCTTTTCTGGGCATGATAAAACCATAACCTGAAGGAGAACTCGGAACCTACCCTGCCTCTCCTTATGTGCCGTCTCCCTACCCAGGCACCGTCGAAATCAGAACCCTCGGGTGGGATTGGCCAACCCCCCACCCCGGACCACCAAGAAGGAAGATTCGTGGTGAGACAAATCTTTGTCCGCCAGTGGTCCTGGGGGTGGGTGGGTCCTCATGGATGGGATCGACAAAAGCAATACATCCCTGGGAGGGCAAGACGGTACCCAGGCGGAGACGACCTGTTGCAGCACCCTTTTGCTGAGGGTGGCCTCGGCAGAGGCCCACTTGTCTATTCCTTAGTGTCCGGTGAAGGAGCGTACTGGCCTCCAGGTATCAGCCTTACAGATAACCTCCAGGGAGGGAAAAGACCAAGGCTCCCTCTAAGCTGTGGAGTTAGCAAAAATTCTACTTTGTGAGCTACTGGCATTAAAGTTGTGAGCGAGTGATTTGGCTACTGCATGAATTAGTTCCCTCTGGGGCCCTCCTTCTTGAGTGAAGACAAAGGTGTGAGAGCCGGAGGCTAAAACCTGTGAGCTAGTTCACACTCACTTGGCTTAGAGGGAACACTGGAAAAGACCCATATGTGGCTGAAGCAACTGCCCCTCTGAGAGAATGTGCTGTGACTTCTGGTGGCAATTCTAGCCCCGTTGCTTTGGAGGTCAATATAGTGCAGCCTTTCACCCACCTGCTAATGGCAGACGTAGAAGCCTTGTGTCCCAAGGATTTAGGAGAGGACACACATTGTGAATCTGTCCTACCGTGTGCGAATCAGGTTTGATTCCCCGCTCCTCCACTTGCAGCTGCTGGATGACTGTGGGCACACCACAGTTCTCTCAGAGCTGTTCTCTCAACAAGGGCAGTCCTTCCAGAGCTCTCTCAACCCCGCTTACCTCACTGGGTGTCTGTTGTGGGGAGGGGAAGGGAAAGGAGATTGTAAGCCGCTCTGAGACTCCTTTGGGTAGTGAAGGGCGGGGTATAAATCTAATCTCTTCTCTTCTTCTCCCAGAGACGTACTGCGACTCTTCAACCTTTCCTCATTAGGACGGTGCTCTGACCCCCTCATCATCTTGGTTGCCCCTCCTCTGTGCTTTTTCCAGCCCTGCAATGTCCTTTTGGAGATACGGTAACCAGAACTGTACACAGGATTCCAAACGAGGCTGCGCCATAGATCTATACAGGGGCATTACGTCAGCCGTTCTGTTCTCAATGCTGTTCCTAACAATCCCTAGCAGAGTGGCAACTGACAGAACACCTGCTTTGCATGCAGAAACTGCCGGGTTCAGTATCCAATGTAACCCGTTAGGCTTGGGAAGGGCCTTTGCCCTGGGTCCTGGACAGCTCCTGCCAGTCAAAAGAGTGGATACTGGGTTACGTGGTGGAGCACTGGCTTGGCTTTGCATACGGTGATTCTGTATGCGCAGGAACAAAACTGATCCCTCTCTGCACGTGCTTCCTTTTGGTCTTTTTTTTTTTTTTTACAGGCGAACTGGAGTATGAGGAGATGATTGGATTTATACCCCGCCCTTCACTACCCAAGGGAGTCTCAGAGCGGTTTACAGACTCCTTCCCCTTCCCCTCCCCACAACAGACACCCTGTGAGGTAGGTGGGGCTGAGGGAGCTCTTGCGAGGACTGCTCTTGAAAGAACAGCTCTTAGAGAACTTGTGACTGACCCAAGGTCACACCAGCAGCTGCAAGTGGAGAAGTGGGGAATCAAACCCGGTTCTCCCAGATTAGAGTCCGCGCACTTAACCACTACACCAAACTGGCTCTTAAACTAGCATCAAAGCTTTCTCCAAACCAGCATCAGACTAGCATCAAACACCAAAGCTTTCTCCAAATCTCTCTCTCCAAGCAGAACCCCCTCGTGTATTACAGGATACGCAGATACCATCAGCTGGGGGGCCCAGGTTTGAGAGAAAATCACACTTCCATGGTGGAGTGGCCATATTGAAAATATGCAGAATACCCCCCCCCCCAAGTACAATGAGAACCTATTCTAACCCCTGTCATAAGGAATATCTACTGAACCCACAGATGGGTCAGGCTCTTTTCAGATGAGAGTAACGATACTGTTCCCGCCTCCCCGGAGCTCATTCTACTCACCTCTGCCTCCGATTCCGCCACGCCCCATGGGTCCTCTGAGTCCGCCTCTTCCGGGCCCTCCGCGCCCTCTGAGGCCTCCTCTTCTCAGGCCTATCCTAGGAGAGAGGCCACGCCCACCCCGAAGTAAACCTTGTCCTTTAATAGGATAGGAGAGAGAGAGAGGATGCGTGAGATGGTGACCTTTAAGAGAATCAATTCTGAGACTCAAAGTTGGGGGTATTTCTACTTAATGCACGGTTTTAACGGGCTGAAAGCCTGGTTTTTTTTTTTTTTAAAAAAAACTCATGGGATTTGTGTTTTTGATCTGTCTCTGAAAATTCTCTTTGGGTTTCTTGCTTCTTCGTCGGCTGTGAAACTTCTCTCTGTGAGCACAAAGACTAGAAGCTTGGAAGATCCCAACTCTCAGTCTAGCAAACGCGACGTGAAGGCCTCGGTTTGTCTTGGGGCCATGCAGGAAAGGGAGTTTAACCTGACACCGGGTACACCACCTTGCTGCTATAGCATTCAGCACGCTTCTACCCTTTGAAGGACACTGCTTTTCCCCACAGAGGCTGAAGGGTTAAACCTTCTCTCCTTTCAGGCACAGCCTCAAGGCAGACGGAGCATTTCACGGACTGAATGAGAGGTCTGCTCTCCTGTCTCAGCTCTTACCCGTCCACCTGCCGCTCTCCTCTACGTATTCCTTTTGCCCCTGCGTGTTCCTCAAAATGTTGCTGAATTGAAGGAGGCATGGTGCTGAAACCACGCCCGTTTAGAACGCAGGTCTATTCTGAATCGGCTGGGAGAAACTGGAATGGATACGGAAGACAGCCAGCCCTGGCAAGGATGCCTCCTGAAAAGCACCTTCAACTGAGGCCTCGTATAGGTACGTGCTGACTCCTTTTAAAGTCACACGCACTCACCTCTGAGGGGAATTCCTCCTCGTAGCAACGCTCTCGCTCCGCGCCCGCCGCGCATGGCTCCTCGGGGCAGCCCTCTCTGACCCATGGGCAGCCCTCGGCCCCCTAGTGCTCCGCGAGCCAGGGGTCCCGCCGGTCGGCCTAAGCGTGCTTGGATGTTGCTCTTCCCCAGGCGTTGTTTCAAGCTCTTCTGAAAGAAGAGAGTGTTAAAACAGGGGAAAGTCCTGCACAACCTAACCCGCACAGAGAGATGTGCGGAAACTGCTGGGGGGGAGGGAGGAAAGACCGTGCAGAATCAGAAGACAGCAGTTTAAATCCTTTGAGACCTAAAGAAAGAAATCGGAATCTTGTTGGGTCTGGATAAGCGGGACTCAGAGTGCTGATGAATGGAAACTGAAACCGGGTCCAGGATGTCTCGACAGACGTACCTCGACAGAGTTAATTCCATCACTGGTATAACATATACTGGACAATTAGTTTACGGTCTCCCATACATCAATCAAACACGGCATGCCAGTGATCACGGCAGTAGCCAGGTAAGCTCAAGAGCAATGCTCCCTCTAAGCTGCAGAGTCTTGTGAGCAAAAATTCTACTTCGTGAGCGACTGGCATTGAAGTTGTGAGCGAGCGATTTGGCTGCCGCATAAATTAAGTTTGCTCTGGAGCAGTGTTCCCTCTAAGCTGAGTTAGTGTGAGCCAGCTCACAGTTTTTTAGCCTCCGGCTCACACATTTTTGCCTTCGCTCAGGAAGGAGGACTCCAGAGCAATGTTCCCTCTAAGCTGAGTTAGTGTGAGCCAGCTCACAGTTTTTTAGCCTCCGGCTCACACATTTTTGCCTTCGCTCAGGAAGGAGGACTCCAGAGCAATGTTCCCTCTAAGCTGAGTTAGTGTGAGCCAGCTCACAGTTTTTTAGCCTCCGGCTCACACATTTTTGCCTTCGCTCAGGAAGGAGGACTCCAGAGCAATGTTCCCTCTAAGCTGAGTTAGTGTGAGCCAGCTCACACTAACCCAGCTTAGAGCAGGGATGGCCGAACTTGCTTAACGTTAACAGCCACACAGAATGAGCGTCAGATGTTTGAGAGCTGCAAGACATGAAGTAATATTAAGTAAAAGGTAAAGGTTCCCTTGCTCGAAAGCCAGTCGAGTCCGACTCTAGGGTTGCGGTGCTCATCTCCGTTTCCAAGCTGAAGAGCCAGCGCTGTCCGAAGACGTTTCCGTGGTCATGTGGCCGGCATGACTAAACACCAAGGCGCACGGACACACGTTTTTATTGAAAAATATGCAAATTTGCTTTTCATTAACATTAAATTAAGACTGCGTGAAAGAGCTGCATGCGGCTCCCGAACTGCAGTTTGGCCACCCCTGGCTTAGATGGAACACTGCTCAAGAGCTGCTGATTCAGAGACTGCAGGATGCGATCATCACCCCATCTAACAAGGGACAAGAAAAAGACTGTTCTGCAAGGCACTCAAAGCTATGTGAGATGCCAAGTTCAGCGGCTCCTGGATGGACAGAGAAGGCTGGGGAAGTACCCAAATTCCTCGACAGGCTGTTATGCTCACCTCTTTTACAGATAGTGTTTTTTTAAAGTTCAAATAATTAAATAATTAAAAATGTTCAAATAATTCAAATAAAGTACACACGTGAAATAATATTGGGCACCCCTTGTAGAGATTCTACGGGCTTCTATGAGGCTGTGGTGTTCTTTATTATGCTCTCTGAGCAGCAACCTGGCTTCTCCCTTAACCATCGGAAGCTTCACGTGCCGATGGCATGACCTGATACCTTTTAAAGAGACGACAAGCCGGCGTGGCCACCCAGGAGAGCCCCTCATGGGGCTGGCCAGACACAGTTTTCCCTACCGAGGCCTTTCTTTAAACTGGTGGAATGAGCTCCCGGAAGAGATCAGGGCCCTGCGGGACCTCTTACAGTTCCGCAGGGCCTGCTCCCCGTCATGACTATCACCCAAGTAACACTGTTTTAATCTGAAACTCTGCTCTTGCACTTTACTTGAATCCTGTTCCGGCACTTCAGGGTAATTCAGTTTAATTGTTGTGTGTTTTATGATTGATTTTAACAATATTTATAAATGTATTTTTATGTAAGCCACCCTGAGCCTGCTTGGCGGGGAGGGCGGGGAATAAACTGAAATAAATATATAACCAAAGATAAAGGTTCCCTTGCTCGAAAGCCAGTCGAATCCGACTCTAGGGTTGCGGTGCTCATCTCCGTTTCCAAGCCGAAGAGCCAGCGCTGTCCGAAGACGTTTCCGTGGTCATGTGGCCGGCATGACTAAACACCGAGGCGCACGGAACGCTGTTACCTTCCCACCGAAGTGGTACCTATTTATCTACTTGCAATTTCTTGCTTTCGAACTGCTAGGTTGGCAGGAGCTGGAACTAGAGATGGGAGCTCACTCCATCATGCAGCACCCGGGTCTCGAACTGCTGAACTACTGACCTTCCACAGCCTGCAGTTCAGCCTCTTACCCACTTGAGCCACCGCAGCTCCTATATAACCAAACAAGACTCTTAATTTCTCTCGGCTCTACAGACAACGGGAGGCTGGGCGCCGTATGGAAGGCGACTCGCTCCCTTGCTGTACACGACACTCAGCGCGCGCACCCTGCTTCCTTTCGCCAGCTCAATTTCCACTGGCACAACTACGCTGCAGCTTGTACTTCCAATGGATGCCGAGAACGCTCATAAATAAAAGGCTTTTCACAAGGGCTAAAAAAAAGAGGATGCTTCTGTCTGCCCTCAGAATGCTCTCCGGGGTTTAGTCGAGTCACACTATTTTCTGAGTGTTGGTAATGCCGATTCCGGCCATGCGGCCAGCCTCTCCTGGGCTCCCAGGCCACATGCCAGAGGACTGATGCAGAGTGCTATATTTAATTGCCGCCGCGTCCAAGTCGGACAGTTCTCCCATTCACAAACTGCCTGTAGCTCTAGAAAGTAGAAACTTGCCTCAAACAGAGATTCGTCTCTGACTCAGAGATTGAGATAAGCTGCTCTCTTCTGTTTTAAACTCTGTTAAATACACACACACACTGCTTGGACAATGGGGGTTCGAAACTGCTTACAAGAGGACAAAATGAGAATAATGAATACAAAACAAAAGAGACCTCTCAAACCAGGCGAAAAAGGAAGGTTTCGTAGCCTTTTCCTGAAAGGACAAACAAGGATGAACAGTTCCCTCAGTGGTTAGTATTTGGATGGGAGACCACCCTGGAATTCTGGCGTCACTATGCAGAGGAAGGCAATGGCAAACCTTCTCTGAAAGTCTCTTGCCTTGAAAACCTACGGGGTTGCCGTAAGTCAGCCGCCACTTGAGAGCACAAACAGAGAGCTTGGGGTTCTTTAGCTTGAAGAGACGACGACTGAAGGGTGACGTGATCGAGGTTTATAGGATCATGCATGGGACAGAGCAAGAAGAGAAAGAAGTACTTTTCTCCCTTTCTCACAATACAAGAACTCCTGGGCACTGCATGAAATGGCTGAGCTGTCGGGTTAGAACTGATAAACGGAAGTCCTTCTTCACCCAAAGAGTGATTAACACGTGGAATTCGCTGCCACAGGAGGTGGCTACAAGCAAGGGGGGATTGAAAGAACATATGGAGCAGAGGTCCATCAGTGGCTATTAGCCACAAGGTATAGATAAGAACTCTCGGTCTGGGGCAAGGGATGCTCTGTCTTCTTGGTGCTTGAGGGGGGGGGCAACAGTGGGAGGGCTTCTAATGTCCTGACCCCACTGCTGGACCTCCTGATGGCACCTGGTATTTTTGGCCACTGTGTGACAGAGTGTTGGACTGGATGGGCCATTGGCCTGATCCAACACTGGCTTCTCTTCTGTTCATAACTCCGGGACCACAGACCTGGAAGCCCTACATTTGACAGCCGATGTTCAGGCCTTGCTGCTTCTGTCTCTATGCAACATGGGTTGACAACCCAAAATGGAAGACAGCGGCAGGAACAGTTCACCTTAATGCCCACTTCCTGCCGCACAAGCAGGTGGCATGCTCAGAACTCTGAGGGTTCTGGCTTTTAGAGTACCACTCGTGTGGAAGGCTGGTAGGAACCTAGGTTAGTGCCACCCTGATGGAACAGCTGGTCTTCACAGAGCTGCCTCTGTGAGGTGGTGCCAGGTGAATGAGATGCGTGTGGGAGCTGCTGTTCTGGGCGGAGGAGAGAGGAGCCGAAAGTTGCTCGCGGGCCGCATAAGAGCCCTGGACGGGCTGAATACGGCCCCCGGGCCTTATGTTTGACACCTCAGCCTTAGAGTAATTTCACTAACCGTAAGAGCGGCCGGCCCGGGACACAATATGCCAAGGCAATACCGAGAGCTTTTTGCACTCTAGTCCTCTTTATTTCACACATTACTGCGAAGTCCCCGCCCGATAAACTCACAATAGATGAACACATGAAGCTGCAGCATACTGAATCAGCTCCTCGGTCCATCAAGGTCAGTCCTGGCTACGTCCAGGGCTTTTTTTGTAGAAAAAGCCCACAGCAGGAACTCATTAGCATAATAGGCCACACCCAACAGCAGAAACTCATTAGCATATTAGGCCACACCCGGACAGTGCAGCATATTAGGCCACACACCCCATACCTTCCCTTGGCTTATCCAGGTGCAAGTCGGTCTTAGACATGCCGGGGAAGACTCCGAGTAAATGCCTCCCCGATCCTTCCAGGCCTCCCCCGGCCTGCCCGCCTCGGAGTCGCCGGGTGTGTGTCACTCTCCAGGCCTTCCCTCTGTAGCCACACATGTGCAGAGGTTTTGGCTGTAGTGGGCGTGGCCAACTCTGAAGCCAGCCGGAACTCCGTTCCTGTGCGTTCCTGCCTACGTCTCTCCAGGGGGGTAAGTAGAGATCTTTCCCATCACCTACTACTTCTACTTCTTTTTTTTAAATGGGAGATGCCGGGGATTCAATTTGGGACCTGAACTACAGTGCCCCACCCCCAATAATAATTGTGTGCCGTCCAGTTGCAACTGACTCACAGCAACCTGGGGTTTTCAAGGCAAGAGATGTTCAGAGGTGGTTTGACACTGACTGCCTCTGCATAGCAACCTCGGACTTCCTTGATGGTCTCTCATCCAAGGACGAACTGTGGCCAACCCCGCTTAGCTTGCAAGCTCTGATGAGACTGGGTTAGGCGCCCCGCTATCGGACTGCTCCCTTCTCCTTTACCGTACATCAAGGGATTCACAAATGACACCATTACAAACAGCTGGTCTCTCTACATAACGACAGCAACAGCCTTGGGATCCACGGCCACAGGAAGTGGTGGCGGCTACAAGCATAGAGAGCTTCAAGAGGGGAGTGGATAAACATCTGGAGCAGAGGTGCTTGGCGGGGGGCAACAGTGGGAGGGCTTCTAGTGTCCTGGCCCCACTGCTGGACCTCCTGATGGCACCTGGTATTTTTGGCCACTGTGTGACACAGAGTGTTGGACTGGAGGGGCCATTGGCCTGATTTAACATGGCTTCTCTTATGTTCTTAAGAGCAGAGGTCCATCAGTGGCTATTAGCCACAAGGTATATAGAGGGAACACTCTGTCTGGGGCAGGGGTATGCTCTGTATTCTTGGGTGTTTGGGGGGCAACAGTGGGAGGGCTTCTGGAGTTCTGGCCCCGCTGGTGGACCTCCTGATGGCCCCTGAATTTTGGCCACTGTGGGAGATAAGAGTGTTGGACTGGATGGGCCACTGGCCTGGTCCAACATGGCTTCTCTCGTGTTCTTATCCACACATCCAGACCAGCACTCTCACAGGTTTTGCTGCCCTGGCTCTGAGCTCTTCCATTGCTCATGCCCTCCAAGGATATGCAGTTTCTGAACCAGAAGGTTCCACACTGCAGCTGCCAGGCCTACCCTCCGTGGACTGAAATAACTCCTCCCTCGGTCTCTCATGCCAGCCCCCCCAAACACCCCCCCCACAACGCACTCAGTCCCAGGCGGTTCTCTCTGCCCCGCTCTCACCTGCTTGAGTTTTAAGGCGGCCTGCACAGAAGGCCTGTTCTCCATCTGCTGGGCCAGCCTCCGGTTGCGGGCACTGGCTAGCTGCTGCTGCTGCATGGTGGCTCGAATGTTGACGGGGATCGGCTGTTTGTTCTTCAGCATGTTAGTGAAGCTTCAAGGTCGAACAAAACGGGGGGTGGTTTAAATGAAAAGGGTTTGTTACAAAGCATTTCAATCGGCATTTTCACGGGGCCCCTCAAAGAGCGGGCAGCCGCATCCCACGAACCTTTTCTAAATGCAACCAATGTGGTACACGCTTAGCGCCGCGGCAAACGAGTTAACGTATTTTCCTCGTTTTTTTTCTTTTCTTTTTCCTTTTCAGGAAACGTGCAAGGACGAGACACACTCAGGAGGCGTGGGTTAGGCACAGTTATTATTAAAACCGGAAGTTGAAAATCTTTATAAAGAAGTTTCGGAAAGGCAGAGATGAAAAACATGAAGCGGTAAGCAGAGATGGAAACGAGAGAAGTGGGGGGGGGGGAATGCAGAAAGAAGGGCCGTGCGAATTGAAAGATTGCAAAGCTCCCAAGACAGGGTGCTTACGGGGGGGAAAAGATGTTAAACCAAGTGGTATTGAAGCACAAGGCTGTGCTGTTCTAAGTCTGAAAGACGGGTCCTAGTCTAACTCAAGCAGACCATGTTAGGGCTAGTTCAGGGACCTCCTCATAGAACTACAGCTCCCAGTGTTACTTGGGTGGGAGGGACTGACTGAGAATTAACATGCTTGAAGGAAGAAGAGTGCAGGGGGTTGGACTAGATGACCTGTAAGGTCCCTTCCAACGCTAACGTTCTATGATTCTAAGAAGAAAAGCCAGTTTTTATACTCCACCTTTCTCTTCCCTAAGGAGTCTCAGAGTGGCGTACAACTGCCTCCCCTTCCTCTTCCCACAACAGGCTTCTTGTCAGGTAGGTGGGGCTGAGGCAGTTCTCAGAGAGCTGTGACTGGCCCAAGGTCACCCGGCAGGCTTCATGCGGAGGAGGAGTGGACCCAGTTCTCCGGACTAGAGTCTCCTGCTCTTAACCCCTACACCATGCTGGAGTGCGTAAGCTCCAAAATCGGGCTAAAATATGTAATTAGAATTCAGCTACTAGTTATTATAACAAAGTAGGAGACTTCTGTATTATCCACCCTTCCCTCCATCCATTTTATGTATGATTGTTTGTATGTTTTGTGTTTTTTGTTGTTGTTGTATGTTTGTATGAAAATAAAAAAAACTTTTATTAGACAAAAGCGCCTTGCCTCAGTAAAACATTTTAAGCGTTTCCACAACCCAGGCTTGCACAAGGAGACTTCTTCCATTTTATCTTCCCCCCCATAAGCCAGCGGTTCTCAGAAGCAGAACTGCACAGGGAGCAAGAGGCTGCTGCCAGACAGAAAAATGCCCCCTTCCCTGGGCATGGGAGAAAGTAGCAACGGTGGAGAGACTGGGATCTAACACTAGGAGTGGGTTAGCTTAAAGAACTCAAGTGACGTGCTGCCCATTTCTTTTAGGGCCACACCCGGGTGCTACACCTGAGTAACAGACCCCCATTCTGACTGCCTTGGTGTAACTCTAAGTCTTGAACTGGGGGAGTAGAGGCAAGAGTGTCACGTGGGAGAAGCAGGCAGGAAGTATAAGCTCAACTGCATATAACAGCCAGGCTTGCAAGCCTGATTACGGCCTCACCACTGGAGCCAATTTTTTTTTTTAAAAAAAATACAGTGTCAAGAACTAAGCGCTTGCGCTCAACAGGAGCACTGTGCCGGGAAATTAAGATTCCATTTGAGATATGAGCCGTGCCTAGATTATTGTGGAAATCAGGTTCCATTTTTCAGCCATACAACTGAAGAAGAATGTATTGAAACATCAGGCATACCTAGGAAGGACGTTTTCAGCTGCAGACGTTTGTTTTCTCTTTGAGATATCCTCTACCTTTTTTGTAGACTTTTGAGGTCTTTTGGACACTATTATATTCAAAGGATATAGAGGAGTCTCCTTTCGGACTGAACTGTATATTATGTTTTTGAATTGTGACCACCAATTCTACTGTATGTATCAAATTATTGTCATTACATTGCAATAGACTGATGTCTACCATTAACTTGTGAAGTTCGTGAATCTTTGATGGTCTACCCTTGCATTATATATATATATATTTTTTGGTGGTGGGGGGGGTTAGTCTGACAGCTCTTCCTGTATGATGCTCCTCTCCAGGCCTGCCTCTGGAGCCGGTGGCAAGCGGCGGGTAAAGGGGGAACTGGTGAGTTTAGGAAAGCCAACCCTATTAATTCAAGAAGTGGGTTTTTGTTTTTTTTGCATAGATGGAGAATGCACCCATTAGTCGGACACGTAAGTTCAGAAACACGTAGGAAAAGGAAAGGAATGAGTAAAAAAGAGGGGGAGTGCAACAGGAAAGGAAGCGGACACTGGATGAAGCGGAGCTCTTGCCTCTTACAAGGTCCGAGGCGGGGGCCAAGGAGCCTTTGGGCTGATCGCAGCGGCCAGCTTGCCTGCCTCTTACAGGCCAGACCACACGGGCGTGTGTCTACCTCGGACACAGCAGCAGGCCTCCCGCAGCTCAGGTAACATGCTACCACGCTGCGGGGTCACCTATGTAACGTGAACACATGTGGAAGAAAAGGAAAAGGGCTAAGTTTCCTTTTTGTGAGAAAAAAGGACACATCCCACCACACTAAAAACGTTTTCCGTTTACTACGAGACAAAGACAATTTTGCCCCTTTTAACCTCGTGTACCATCGTTTCGTTGTGGGATTCCAGGCAGGCGCGAACCAGCTGCCTGTTCTGTTTGCGTCTGGGATAGATTAAAACCAGGGCAAGGATCATGCTGGTTCTTGGTACCGAACACAGTGACAAATAAGCAGAGAGGAAAAAAAAAATCTTAATGAGCTGTAGTTGGCCGTTGGGGGTTCCTCACCGCTCGTTGAGGGACATCTTGGTGGTGCTCTTAAGCACAACTTTCGGCGCGGACTGCGCGGCCATCTCGGGTCCCCAGAACCTGCAAAGAATGAAGGGGCAAGGGTCAGGAAGGAGACGTTTACATGGGTACGTCAACCTACAAAACTGAATTATTCAATTATTATATTTCCTTGGGTACTGGGTAATAGTCTGGGTAGACAACATTGACCTTGACGGCCCGATTTAGTATATGGCAGCTTCACATGAATAGAATGACTTCAGAGAGTAGAAAATAGAAGCTGGGGGAGGGGGGAAGGGGCACAAGGAAGACAGGCAGGAAACAAACAGCAATACATCTGCCAATCTGGGATTTCAACTGACCTCCACGCAACACAGATCAGTCCACCTGGAGAAAATGGCTACTGTGGAAGGTGGACCCTGTGGCATTAGAGCCAATTTGGTGCAGTGGTTAAGTGCGCTGACTCTAATCTGGGATGACCGGGTTTGATTCCCCACTCCTCCGCTCGCACCTGCTGGATGACCTTGGCCAAGCCGTAGTTCTGATAAGAGCTGTTCTTGAAAAAGAGCAGTTTCTGTCAAGAACTCTCTCAGCCCCACCTACCTCACCGGGTGTCTGCTGTGGGGAGGGGAAGGGAAAGGAGTTTGTAAGCCGCCCTGAGACACCTTTGGGTAGTGAAGGGCAGGGAGTAAATCCAATCTCCTCTTCTTCAGTAGACCCTGCTGAGGTCCCCCAACCCCAAATCTCCAGGCATCCCCCACCCCAGAGCTGGCAACCACTGTTCCCTCTAAGCTGAGTGAGTGTGAGCTAGCTCACCGTTTTTTAGCCTCCGGCTCACACATTTTTGTCTTAGCTCAGAAAGGATGGCTCCAAAGCAAACATTTATGCAGTGGCCAAGTCACTCGCTCAGAACTTTAATGCCAGTAGCTCACAAATTGAATTTTTGCTCACAAGACTCCACAGCTTAGAGGGAACACTGCTGGCAACCAGTGTTCCCTCTAAGCTGAGTTAGTGTGAGCTAGCTCACAGTTTTTTAGCCTCCAGCTCACACATTTTTGTCTTGAGTCAGGAAGGATGGCTCCAGAGCCAACTAATTTATGCAGCAGCCGAATCACTCGCTCACAACTTTAATGCCAGTAGCTCACAAAGTAGAATTTTGGCTCACAAGACTCCATAGCTTAGAGGGAACACTGCTGGCAACCCTAATTAGCGAGGATACAAAGAACTAGGGAAATGGTTTGGGGAGGCAGGGGATTTTAGCGAGCAAGCTGCCCAGAGTGCTGGGGGCAAAAGGGAAAAAAGAAAGAGGCAGGAGGACACACTGAAAGGGGGGGGGCCGGAGGGGGACACCCCAAGATAAAGAGCACGTGCGCACCAGTGGGTGAACAACCCCAAGTCCTGGGGGCTCTCCAAGGAAATAAAGGCCCTCTAGCCTTATGAGCAACCAAAGCCCCACCCACTCGAGCTAAGCCCCGCCCAGGACCGCTAGGCCCCTCCCCCGCAGGGGCTAGCCTCGCCCTCGGCCATCCGGGGCCTGCTCTCTCCCCCCCCCCCCTCGGGCCGGGCCTCTCACGCCCAGGCCTTCTCCCTCTCTGGGCTCACCGTCGGGGGCGGGACTGGCTCTGCTCCGTCGGTGGTGGCGGCGGCGGCGGCTGGAGGCTCGGCTCAGGCTGGCCTCCGCCCTCAGGCGCCCTGAACGGGAAGTGCGGGATGGTGGCGGTGGCGGCGGCCCCTCTTCCCCACAGTCTGGCGGCGATACGGAGCCCGGCTTCGTCGGCCTCCCTTCTATTCTGCGTCCCCCCCTCCCTCAGCAGCCCGGCAAAATGGCGCCGTGCTCCTTCGTCCGCGTTGCGCCTGCGCCGTCGAGAAAGCGGTGCTCCGGCTACGCAAGCGCGCAAAATTGGTCGAAGGGGGGTCGGGGTTTTTGTGAGTGGCAGGGTCGTCAGAGGGGAGGGTTCGGCTCCCGCCTCCAATCGTCTACCGCGTTCCGAGGTAGGCGGGGCTAGGCGTAGGGTGATTGGCAACCCTACGTTTGCTGTCGACGCGCGGTCTGAGGGGGAGGAGCTTCTTTGGTAATGGGCGGGATGCGGCGACGAGCTTTTAAGAGTTGGTCGGAGCCTCCCTGGAAGGGGCGTGGCGAGGTTGGGCGGGGCTTATTTTTTGATATTTAACGGTTTAACGTATACTTTAGGAAAATTATAACAAAAATTATTTTACATCAACATTTGTGAGTTATTTCGAGAGGTGCATCGTTGAAGGCTCAAAAATAAATCCCGTACAAAATATATATGTAGAACTAGTCAATAACAAAATTCAGTCTTATAATTACCAATAAATATTTTTAACCAAATTGATAGATAAGTCAAAATTTCGTTATAGCATTTGTTTATCTTATGATATTTAAAAGAGTGATACTGTGCTGAGTCATCCATGGAGGGAGGCCATTTCCCCAATAAATTAGAATTTAGTAGATTCAGTGGTTGAAATATGGTCAGCTATTTTGTCCAGGGTGAAAAATTCCTACATTTTTACATACCAGTCCACAACTGAAGGGACGGGGGCCTTTTTCCAGTGAGAGGCCAATAGAAAATTTGCAACTGTGTAATCAGAACTATAATTAGCTCTTGTATTCTTAGGTATTGCTAGAATTTGCCACAAATTCAAAAGAATCAGTTGAAGAGTGTTAAAGGTAAAGGTTCCCTTGCTCGAAAGCCAGTCGAATCCGATTCTAGGGTTGCGGTGCTCATCTCCATTTCAAAGCCGAAGAGCCAGCACTGTCTGAAGACGTTTCCGTGGTCATGTGGCCGGCATGACTAAACACCAAGGCACAAGGAACGCTGTTACCTTCCCACCAAAGTGGTCCCTATTTATCTACTTGCAATTTCTTGCTTTCGAACTGCTAGGTTGGCAGGAGCTGGAACGAGAGATGGGAGCTCACTCCGTCATGCGGCACACTCGGGTCTCGAACTGCTGAACTACTGATCTTCCACAGCCTGCAGTTCAGCGTCTTAACCACTTGAGCCACCGCAGCTCATCAGGAATGTTAGGTATCTTATAATTAGTGGTGAGCCATATATGATGTATAATCTGGTCCCAGGGTTTTGTTTTTTGTTTTACTTTTTCACATGACCACCAGCAATACGGCTGTGATCCATAGTTTCCGCAGTTTCCCCAACAACTAGTGGAAATACTTTTATTGCCTTTCTGTAGTAAAGAAAGTGTCCGATGCTCAAGGCTTAATGGTTTTGTTTCTGTATTCTTTTCGTTGGCATTTAATTTTTTTAAAAACAAACCTCATGTCCTGTTTTTATTTTGACGTTTAACAGGGAGTCTCTCAACCCCAGGAGGAAGCAAGCAATATATTTATAAACTGCTTCTTGGGGTGGGTGGGTACAAAGGCTTTGGTATCTTGTAACCCTAACAACAGCCTTGCAAGGTAGGTCAGTACTGTTGTCAGTGCTCAGACAGAGGGCTGAAAGCGGGTGGCTCACTTAAGGCCACCAGGACCATTCCCATAATAAACCTATTAAGGTGACGCATCTCCATCAGACAGGAATGAGCAAAGAAACAGCAAAAAACTGTTTGCAGACGGAAGAGTCCTGGCCCCGCTGCTGGACCTCCGGATGGCACCTGGTATTTTTGGCCACTGTGTGACCCAGAGTGTTGGGCTGGATGGGCCATTGGCCTGATCCGACATTGGCTTCTCTTATGTTCTTAAGAGAAAGAAAAAGGAAAGCGTCTTTATGTGCCTTGATTTCTGGACCTCTCTCCCCCTTGTTTCTGGAAGTTTTATCCTCAGCAGAGATAAGACTTGGAAGTAGGTTTGCACTGAAAGTGAATGAGAGAGAGAGAAGATGTTGGGAGTTGGCTAGAGAGATGCAGAATCTCTCTCATTTCCTCAGTACATCTCATTATAGCTTTGTGTTCTGGTCGTATGTATTTGCAACCCCCCCCCCCCCCCAATAACTCTCCAGTGCTCTCTCCTATAAAGGAAACTAAACCTACTTGTCCTGGGAACTTTTCTCTGCTCAGGGAACTGGGCAGAGCAAAGCAAGGTAACAAGATAACACCCTTTTATTTTTTTTAAAAAGGAAGACGCCTGCTGGATCAGACCAGTGAGGGTCCATCTAGTCCCGCATCCTGCCTCACACAGTGGCCTCAACCAGTTCCTCTGGAGGGCCAACAACAGGTCAGAGAGGCCGAGGCCTTCCCCTCATAAGAACGTCAGAAGAGCCCTGCTGGGTCAGGCCAGTGAGGGTCCCTCTAGTCCAGTATCCTGCCTCACACAGTGGCCTTAACCAGTTCCTAAAGAAGGGCCAGCAACAGGGCAGAGAGGCCGAGGCCTTCCCCTCACTAGAACATCAGAAGAGTCCTGCTGGGTCAGACCAGTGACGGTCCCTCTAGTCCAGCATCCTGCCTCACACAGTGGCCCCAACCGGTTCCTCTGGAGAGCCAACAACAGGGCAGAGGGGCCGAGGCCTTCCCCTCAGAAGAACATCAGAAGAGCCCTGCTGGATCAGACCAGTGAGGGTCCCTCTAGTCCAGCATTCCTGTCTCACACTGTCTTCAACCAGTTCCTCTGGAGGGCCAACAGCAGGGCAGAGGCCGAGGCCTTCCCCTCATAAGAACATCAGAAGAGCCCCGCTGGATCAGACCAGTGAGGGTCCGTCTAGTCCAGCATCCTGTCTCACACAGTGGCCCCAACCAGTTCCTCTGGAGGGCCAATGAACAGGGCACAGAGGCCGAGGAATTTCCCCTGATAAGAACGGAAGAAGAGCCAGTGGGAATCCATCTAGTCCAGCATCCTGTCTCACACAGTGGCCTCAACCAGTTCCTCTGGAGGGCCAACAGCAGGGCATAGAGGCCGAGGCCTTCCCTTGATGTTGCTTCCTGGCACTGAGATCCAGAGGACTAGTGGCTCTGAACGGGGAGGTTGCCTTCAGTCACCGTGCCCTCTTTCGTACTTCTTCTGGCTCTGTGATGTCCTTTTTGAGATTCAGTAACCAGAACTGCACACGGTATTCCAAATGAGGTCACACCGTAGATCTCTACAGGGTCATTATAACATGGGCTGTTTTATTTTCAGATCTTTTCATCATAATCCCCAACACTGAGTTTGCCTTTCTCACTGCTGCAGCACATTGGGTTGACAGTTTCATTGAGCTATTCATTATGTTCCCTCTAAGCTGAGTTAGTGTGAGCTAGCTCACAGTTTTTTAGCCTGTGGCTCACACATTTTTGTCTCAGCTCAGGAAGGATGGCTCCAGAGCAGACTAATGTCTGCAGTAGCCAAATTGCTCGCTCAGAACTTTAATGCAAGTAGCTCACAAAGTAGAATTTTTGCTCACAAGACTCCACAGCTTAGTGGGAACATTGATGGCCCCAAGATCTTTCCCCCTTAGTTTCAGCAAGTTCAGACCCTGACCTGTACCTGAAGTTGTTGTTTTTTGTCCCAGTGTGCATCAGCTTACACTTATTTTATTGATGTTATTCAGGGCTATTTTGGGGCAGGAACGCACAGGAACGGAGTTCCGGCTGGCTTTGGAGTTGGCCACGCCCACTACAGCCGAAACCTCTGTGTGAGTGGCTATCACAAACCACACCTCCACCCCAGCCAGCTGTGACCAAATCCCTTTCCTCTAAGGGATGGTTTCCCAGGGCTTCCCACAGCTGCGGGGTGCCCGGGCAAGCCAAGGGAAGGCATGGGGTTGTGGCCTCCTCGACTAATAAGCTGTGCTGTTAGGGGTGTGGCCTAATATGCTAATGAGTTCCTGCTGGGCTTTTTCTACAAAAAAAGCCCTGATGTCATTTATAGGTGGCCTTTCTCGCTGATACTCAGGCCTGTAGCCAGGAATTTGTGGCTTGTGGGGCAAATTTTTTTCTGGTGGGGCTGCAGTTCTCAGCGCAGAAAGAAAAGCCATGTAGCCAATAGAAAGTTGTGACCAGGATAGATCTCTAAATTGCGAGCCATCGACCGCTTTAGATGACAGTTCTCAGCTGCTGCAAGTTAATAACTTCTTCCAGCTTGAGCAACAGTTATGAGAACAAGCCGGCAGGTGGGGGGTGATGATTTCTGTAGTCAGGAAAGCTAATGCTTAGGCAGAACAAGGAGACCAGTTTCTTGACACTGAGTTAGAAGGGATCTTAGAGGTCACCTACTCCAACCCCCTTGCTCAGTGCGGGAATTAGTCAACTACAGCACCCCACTCTGCTTAAAGGAGCACACACATTTAGAAATGTTTTTAAGTGATTTAATGTTTAATTTGCCTTGAGAGACTCAAGGCAGATTGCATAAGATACAGAAATATTTCCCTTTCTGTATCCTGGGGAAGGAGCAAACATTTCCTGTCCCTTGCCTCATCCTACACCTATACTGCTATAACAAATGAATATATAATGACATAGCTATGCTCAAGTCCTGACCACGGCTTCATAATATCTGTGGCTGGGTTGCACTAGGAACAGTTGAACGGCCTGATAAGATCTCAGATGTAGATTTTATTACTCAGAAGGGCTTCCCTCCAGGCAATCCATCACACATGATAGGATACTATGCATGCTTACTCATGGGGAAACCCGTTGAATTCCACTGAGATGTGCATGCATAGGATTTGGTCACAGCTGGCTGGGGTGGAGGGGTCCTTTCTGGTCCTGGTGGTGAGCACTGAGCAGTACCGTGGTTGCCCACAAGGTGGCAGCCCTCTCCATGATCATCAATCAAGGCCTGCCAGAGGTTTTTCCCTAAGCCAGTTTGTTCCCTGGAAACCTCAGTGGTTTCCACACAGATACAGACTTGTGTGGTTCCCCCCTTTGCTGCTGCAGCTGCCAAGACAGCACGTGGCAGTTTTCACTAGAGTCTACCTGCCCCAGTCCCTCAGAAGCGGCAATCCCCCCTCCAGGGGAGACTGGGGCTTTTTCAGATTCCCCCCCCCCTTTTAAATCAACACATAGTATTATATTGATGTAATGGCAGGGGTCATTTCCTGCAGGAGCGCACAGGAGCAGGAGCGGAGCTCCGGCAGTAAAGAGCCCAGGGGGCGGGCACATGCAACAAGCCCCGCCCCCTGCTCCCAGCAGCCCGGGGCCATGAGGAGCAAGAAGTAGCCAGGTAAGTTGCAATGGGTGTTGTCTTCTGACACACTTCTGGTGATGTCAGGGGGTGTGGCATATGCAAATACGTTATCCTAATGAGTTATGCTAATGAGCTCCTGGCACCACTTTTTCTACGAAATGACCCCTGCGTAACGGTATAACAATCTGTCTGTCAGGTTCTCTGAATCCCCAGATTTCATTACAAAAAAAGTACATCTTTCATTATGGAGATATAAGGGGAAAGGCATATCACCGCGAGCCAGGAGGAAGGCTTGGCGCTTAACCTGAGCAGGGTGGTAGGATCCAGCTCACAGATCCCACTCACAAGCAGTCTCTCGTGAAAATACCAATAAATTCTTGTCAAAGTGTAGATGGATATACAAGATTGATGACATATCGCTTACAACCCACTCGGGTTCTCGCAAGGCACATTGCAGTTTCGTGCCCCACGTGGTTTCCCTACCTGCAATATATGACAGGCAATGACCTCCTACCACAAAACTCGCGTTATACTTCTTAGCTTTTTTAACCTGATAAGATCCCTGAGACCTTTGATGTTAAAAGACAATAGAATGGTTCACTCATCTCGTCACTAGATTGGGCTTTTAGGCAACCTTTAGGTAAAAAGGTAAAGGTAAAGGTTCCCTTGCTCAAAAGCCAGTCGAGTCCGACTCTAGGGTTGCGGTGCTCATCTCCGTTTCCAAGCCGAAGAGCCAGCGCTGTCCGAAGACGTTTCCGTGGTCATGTGGCCGGCATGACTAAACACCGAGGTGCACGGAACGCTGTTACCTTCCCACCGAAGTGGTACCTATTTATCTACCTGCAATTTCTTGCTTCCGAACTGCTAGGTTGGCAGGAGCTGGGACCAGAGACGGGAGCTCACTCTCACCATGCGACAACTCGGGTCTCGAACTGCTGAACTACCGACCTTCCACAGCCTGCAGTTCAGCATCTTAACCACTTGAGCCACCGCAGCTCCTCTAACCTTTAGGTGGTGAGACTTAAATGGACCCTATTAACTGGGTACAAATATTGGTCTGCATTCTACTGTAAATGTGATTTAAGCTTCAAGTTTTCAGTCCATATGTTGTCCCTCCTGTTAAGTCGCACCTCTATGCAAGGTTTGTATGTTAGCACTAAAATAAAAATAAAATTAAAAATGTATATAGAGATCCTCCTCCACATACCAAATCCTATCCAGTTCTTCTTAAACTGAAGAGGTTTTGTATGGGTGTGAAATACCATCAGGTCACAGCTGAAATACCATCAAGCCACAGGTTTTCCAAGAGGAGACATTAAGGGGATTTGCCATTGCCTCCCTCTATGTGATGGAGCTGTGGTGGCTCAAGTGGTTAAGACGCTGAACTGCAGGCTGTGGAAGGTTGGTAGTTCAGCAGTTCGAGACCCGGGTGTGCCGCACGACGGAGTGAGCTCCCGTCTCTGGTCCCAGCTCCTGCCAACCTAGCAGTTCGAAAGCAAGAAATTGCAAGTAGATAAATAGGTACCACTTCGGTGGGAAGGTAACAGCGTTCCGTGCGCCTTGGTGTTTAGTCATGCCGGCCACATGACCACGGAAACGTCTTCGGACAGCGCCGGCTCTTCGACTTTGAAACCGAGATGAGCACCGCAACCCTAGAGTCGGATTCAACTGGCTTTCGAGCAAGGGGTACCTTTACCCTCTCTGTAGTGACCCTGGACTTCCCTGGTGGTCTCCCATCCAAGTACTAACCAGGACTGCCCCGCTTAGCTTTTGTGATCTGATGAGATTGCACAAGCTTGGGCTATCCGGATGAGGGCTGTTTCATTTTCACTGAGAGCCAGTTTGGTGTAGTGGTGAGGAGCGCGGACTCTAATCTGGGAGAACTGGGTTTGATTCCCCACGCCTCCACATGCAGCTGCTGGTGTGACCTTGGGTCAGTCATAAGTTCTTTCTGAGCCCTACCTACCTCACAGGGTGTCTGTTGCAGGAAGGAGATTGTATGTCGCTCTGAGACTCCTTCGGGTAGTGAAGGGCGGGGTATAAATCCAGTCTCTCTTCTCTTTTCTGCACCCTTTCCAATGCTCTAATAACTTTTTTGAGGCGCGGTGACCAGAACTGTACACCGAGCTGAGCTTTCTCCCCTCCCCATCACTGATATTACAACTGCAACTATTGGTGGTACTATTAGTAACGACTGACTGGTGGAAGCCTTGAGCCATAGGTCCCTTGGCATTCTCAGCCCAAGGCTCCCCAAAAGCTGGAACTTGTCCTGATTGGAGGGGTGGGAGATCCTTGTGTTACCAGTCTGGTGTAGTGGTTAAGTGCGTGGACTCTAATCTGGGAGAACCGGGTTTGATTCCCCACTCCTCCACTTGCACCTGGCTGGATGACCTTGGGCAAACCATAGTTCTGATAAGAGCTGTCCTTGAAAAAGAGCAGTTTCTGTCAAGAGCTCTCTCAGCCCCACCTACCTTACAGGGTGTCTGTTGTGGGGAGGGGAAGGGAAAGGAGTTTGTAAGATACTCTGAGACACCTTTGGGTAGTGAAGGGCGGGGTATAAATCCCATCTCTTCTTTTCTTGAAAAAGAGCAGTTTCTGCCAGAGCTCTCTCAGCCCCACCTACCTCACAGGGTGTCTGTTGTGGGGAGGGGAAGGGAAGGGAGTTTGTAAGATGCTCTGAGACACCTTTGGGTAGTGAAGGGCGGGGTATAAATCCAAT